CAACAGGCTGGAGGCTTGAGTAGAACCAGCAGTGCTTTGGAAGAAAGGTCTGGTGACCTAAAAAATCAACCACTGAAAACCCCATGTGGCATAGATCTACCCTGACACATATGGGATGGCCACAAGTTGCAACCGACTTGACAACTGGTTGGTTTTGGTAAAGAGCTTTCAAACAGTTTAAGGAGCCTTGACGGGGCAATGGTTAAGAGCTTAGCTGCTAAGCAAAAGGCTGATTGCAGCTCTGCAGATGAGAGCCCCAGGGATCTGCAGCCTAGAAAACCCTGCAAGGCAGTCCTACCGTCACGGGGGGCAGAATGAGGTGGACTCAACTCAGTGGCACCTAACAACAATGCCTGAACTTGCTGCAAACCGGTATGCGGTACGTGGAGTAACCAGGGTGACAACCTAGGTCACCAGTCAACAGACTCCAGACCACCATCTCTGTACAACTGCCAACACCCTCCAACATGTAGACAAAGAGCTTTCGAATGGTCTGACTCAGACCCACCAATTATTCTAATTTGGATTATCTGATTTAAGGAAATAATTTCTGGACTCACTGTTAAGTGTTCCTGGCTGCAAGGGCCACAGGTGAATCAGGCTACCTGAAAGGTTGGCTCTTGGGGTAAAGGGATATCCCTTTTGTTTCTGGGTGAATTAAACACTTAAAACTTGGAAAATAACAACAGAAGAAGAGCTGCCTTCGTAGTATTCCACTAGAGTTCTATGTGACTTTCTAAGCAGAGCTGGACACACTAATGAGATCCTCTGTAATTTAAATAGCTGGCAAATTGAAATGTTTCTCTGGTGAGTAATTACCCAGCATCTGCCATTTATTTCTAAAACGAATGACACTGATGTTACAGCTTGTGCTGAACCAGAGCACGTTGTGGGGAGTTTCAGCAACATGTATTTACTGCAGGGGGAAAAAAAAGCAGCAGTAGGCTTTCCAATTATAAATCACAACCTAAGGGCAACAGAAAATAAACCACCTAAAAGTCTCAGCCCTTCCGGGCTCCCTGGCTCTTCCCTCCAGGATCCATGCCCCCCAGGAAACAGCCAAGGGGAGGAACACAGAGAACACACTCTGGGCAAGACCCCACAGCTCACAAGCCATCACTCCCCCTACCTGAGCCTCAGTTTCCTGCCCTGGAAAATGGGAAAACGGAGAAAACAATGGCACAGACATCTCAGGGCTATCACAAGGGGTGAATGAGACACCCCAACATGTGATGTGACCTCTCCTAACACTGGCACTCCACTGAAACCGCCTTCTCTCCCCACTCCCCAACCCATTCTCCCCATCAACCATTGCTTCCAGGATCAAGTTCACCCCGTTCCATGGTACAACAGGCCCTTCAGGACCCTACCCGGCCTTCTTTCTCTATTACTCCCTCCCTACATCCCCAGGAGTCCCTGGGTGGTTCACACAGGTTAATACACTCGGCTGCTAACCTAAAGGTCTGTGGTTCAAACCCACCCACAGGCACTGGAAGACAGACTTGGGGATCTACTCCCAAGAGTCAGCCCTGAGAACCCTATAGGGCACAGTCCTACCCTGACACACACGGGTCACCACAGATCGACTTGATGGTGCACATCCTCTGCCGCTCCCCAGCACGCCACCCCTGCAACTGTACCTCCAACATTCCTCCGTCTCACTCCAGCTCTCCTGGTCCCAGGAATCACTCTCACCCTGCAAAACCTCTTTGCCTCTGTAATTACTGTCTTAGGTGCTACGTGGAGGGAAGAGGCAGAACACCATGGGGGCATTAGCTGGGACGAATCTACCCCATTTGAACACATTATGAGTAATAATAGTGCAGTTGTTTAAGCACTCAGCTGCCAACTGAAAGGCTGACAGTCTGAACCCATCAGCAGCTCCAAGAGAAAAAAGACCTGGCAGCCTGCTCCTGTAAGGTCTGCAGCCTGTAAGGGGAACAGAATATTTTGGAAAAGGATAGCAACAATGGTGGCACAAATGAAAAATGTCATCAATCCCTGAGCTGTAAATGTGGAAGTTATGTTGGCAAATGTCTTGTTGTATATGTTTTCACTACAATAAAATTTAAAAAAAAAATAAAAAAAATTATAGCCTAGAAAATCCTATACCAAAAAACCAAACTCACTGCCGTCAAGTCGGATCCGACTCATAACAACCCCTCCTTGGGTTTCCAAGGCAGTATCACTACGGAAGTAGATTGCCCAACCTTCCTTCCAAGGAGTGGCTCGTGGGTTTGAACTTCCAGCCTTCTTGTTAGCAGTCAAGTGCCTTAGGCACGACACCACCAGAGCTCCTCCACACAGGTTACCCAATCCAAAAACCAAACCCATGGTCACCAAAGACGACTGCAACTCACAGTGCCCCTACAGGACAGCGTAAAACTGCCCCACAGGGTTTCTACGCTGGAGATCTTCACAGACACAAAGCCCGAACCAAACCCACTGACAGTGAGTCGATTCTGACTCACAGCAACCCTACAGGACACAGCAAAACTGCCCCATAGGTTTCCAAGACTGGAAATCTTTCAGAAGCAGATTGTCTCACCTTACTTCCATGGTGCTGCTAATGGGTTCAAACTGTGGATCTTTTGGTTAGCAGCCGAGTACTTTAACCACTGCACCACCGGGGCTTCTCTACACAGGTTGGCAAGTAGTTAAAGAAGCCTTCTAACGAGAACTCAGGTCCAATCCAGGGCTGTTGTGCTTAAGTAGCTGTGTACTCCATTTCTGTCTACACCAACAAGGGGCAGTTTAATACCACGAGCAAGAATGGCCAGAGAGCAGCCTGGTGTCCACGTGAGCCGTTCCCAGGCCACGCCAGAAAAACCAAGCAGCAATTACCAATGTCACGGAGGCTGGCACACGGTGCGTAGTGTCAAATGGACACAGCAGACTCTGTGGGAGACACTGCTGTAAGCTCACAGCAGTGGAAAACTAACAACAGGAGCTCATGTTTCAGCAAATGAGAGTTGGGAAAAAAAATACATTATTCTCCCCCAAGATCTGATGATTTGATAAGAACTGTTAAGAGATTTGCTCAGAAACTTGGAATGTAGTAAGCCAGCTGCTTCCAGTTCAGAAATTCCAAAACCATTTCATTTCAAAACATAGTGTCCGCAGATGCTCATGTCCACGGATAGCCAGGAGAGTTTGCTTACCACTTTTCCTCTAGTGCCCTCTAACGGCCATAAAGGAAAAAGCAAGGAAAGAGACACTCCCACAAATTATCCCAATCTTTTCACACACCACAAACAAAGCTTTAATTAGCTTCGCTTGCCCTGCGAAAATTCCAGAAATCTACCTAAGTCAGCTTCCTTATGAATTAGTAGAGTGTTTCAGACACTGAAATCCACCCCATTTCAAGACATTTCCACCAACAAAGACAACCTGGATTTTTCACTAGCCTCACAGACTGTAGCATAGTGGCTAAAGCACTTGCCTGCTAACCAGACCGCTGGCGGTTCAAACCCACCAGCCACTCCTCGGAAGGAAGGTTGGGCAATCCTACTTCCGTAGTGATACTGCCTCGGAAACCCAAGGAGGGGTCGCTATGAGTCGGGGTCGACTCGACGGCACATAACAACAACAACAACACAGACTGTCCTATTTACTGAATTTTCCTCCTGCTCCCCCTACTAGAATCAGATTTAACATTTTTGACACGAACACTGCATAGGCACTGTGTACTTCTCACTACATTGTGCTGGGAGGCACGTAAGGTCAAGTTCAACTCCTAGCACTGATGCTAAATGTGCCTGCTTGGTAGAGGTGAGGTCCACCTGATGGCTTCAGTTGCAAAGGTCGGTTTTTCAGTTGGTAATAAGTAACCTGTGAGTTTTGGGATGTTGGGACGTTTCGTTTTTCACTCTGGCGTTTCTACGTAGTGGCATTTCTGGGGTGCTATGTTGAGACCGTGTAAAAAGCTGTTTCCCAGAGAATGTCATCAAATTCTTGCTACAGCAGTCAAGACTGTGTGTCAGCCTGGCTGGGCCATGATTCTAAGTGGCTTAACAGCTAACATGTGGTTATTTCCCATGATAAGATCTGATAGAATGTTATCACCTTCATAATGAGATCTGCTGTGAGCAGCCAATCAGTTTGTAAAGGCATTGTCTGCAGGGTGTGGCCTGCTTCCAGGAAGTATGGAAAAGCTTGGGCAAAGTCTCAGGCTTTCTGCTCATTCTGGATCTTGCATCTGGCTTGTCATCATCTTCAGTTCCTGAAGCTGAACTAGTGGCCTGCTGTGTTGCCCGCCGATGTTGGGATTGTTGCTTTCATGGCCTGTGAGCCAACAATCTGCCATTTTACCTGCTGATCTCAGATTCATCAGCCTCTGAAACTAGCAGCCTGCTACACTGCCTGCTGACCTTGAGTCTGTCAGCTCCTGCAGCTGCACGGGTCAGGAGAAGCCTCTAGCTGACATCTGACCCACAGACTTGGGACATGCCAGCCTCTACAAATGTGTGAGCCATTTCCCTGAAATAAATCTCTCTCTCTCTCTCTCTCTCTCTCTCGCTCTTGCTCTCACTCTCGCACTCTCTCTCTCTCTACCTATCAGCTTCACTGGTTTTGCTTTGCTAGCGAACCCAGCCTAAGACACCTGGTACCAGGAGTAGTTCTAGAGAAACAAAATCATGAGTTTCTTAATTGGTTCTTAAGTCTGATTAGTTGTAAAGGCACTGATGGTGTTGCCTCCACAACAGGGCACTATGAATCCATGGCATGAGCCATCAACATCAATACACCACCCTGTGCTCATTAGCCACAGCACTAAGAAAAGTCCCTCTCCCTGCCCACCCATTCTTCAGTCCATCTGCCCCCTGCAAGCTCATAGTCACAGTGAGGTGAGCGAAGGTTTTCGCGAAGTACATGTAAAGCCCCCACATGGCAAGACTCTCCACACAGGGAGCAAGGAAAGAAACCTACCTCATGAGCAAATGACTACAGGCCAGTACAGTGTTAGACATTAGCCCACACACCTCCCAAAACAATGGTACCTTTTCTTTCTTCACACGATCCACAATGTTGCCAAGATCCTCAACGTCAACGACAGGATTCAGACTGTGCCGTTCCTCGGCCCCACATTCCTCCTCACTGTTGCTCTCGAAGGGCACTTCCTCCTGCAAAAGAGGCTTCATTACATTTTTCACAGAAGCCACGGCAAGCTCCTCGTACACTGCTCCCCAGACTGAGTTCACGGCCTTCTAACTTAGTACTTTAAAAAGGCCACACCATCTGAAGTCTTCTCAATGGCAACGTCTCCGTCAACAGGAGCAACTACACCTGACGGTGCACCATGAGAAGCGCCCCAGAGGGAGCAGAGCGAGCACTTCTGCCCTCCCCCATGAAGGTGATGTGAGCAGGGGCGAGGAAGGGAAGATCACCTGAAAAAGCATTCAGGGGACACCTACTGCATGCCACCCTCTCCCCCGAGTAGCTGACCTGTGTTCCCTCATATGACCCTTAACCAGACTGACGAGGTAGGTACGTTCAGCATAAGGACCGTTGGCACAGTGGGTACAGTGCTCAGTGGCTACTGAAAGACGGGTAGGCCAGTTGCTTGGCAGGAGAAAGGTGAGGCAGTTGGCTTCCGTAAAGACTGACAGCCTAAGAAACCCTGTGGTTCAGTTCCACTCTGCCCTCTAGGGGTGCTGTGAGTCGTAATCTACTCAACAGCACTGGGTGTGGTTTGGGCTTTGCTTCCATAAAGATTACAGCCTTGCAAACCCTGTGGGCAGTTGTGCCCCATGCTATCAGGGCAATGAGTCAGAACTGACTCAACGGCAATGGGGCTTTTATGTTTAGTTATCATCTTGCAGGCGGTGACGGGGCTTTTATGTTTAGTTATCATCTTGCAGGCGGTGACGGTGACGTGAAGGGCTGTTGTAGTTGTTGTTGTTGTTGTTATTATGTGCCGTCAAGTGGGACCCGACTCATACCGACCTCTCCTTGGGTTGCCGAGGCAGTATCACTATGGAAGTAGATTGCTCCATCTTCCTTCTGAGGAGTGGCTGGTGGGTTTGAACCGCCAGCCTTCTGCTTAGTAGTCAAGTGCCTTAGGCACTACACTACCAGAGCTCCCGACATGAAGGGCTAGAGATGTTAATAATTATCACAGTGAATAAACAGCAAAGGTTCAGACAAAGCCTTCACCCTTCTTAAAAAGCTTAATCAGTGAAGAAGGATAATTAGGTTTTTAAGCAGTAGTTTACGTAACAGATACCTGCGAGTAACTCATGGATCACTTTCAAGTTAAAAGAAACTAGATGTCAGTAACTTTCATGTGCTGGCTACTCTGCCCTAGGATACAACACTGAAAAAAAATTACCATTTTGCTAGTTGATTCCAACTCATGGAGACCTCCCGAGGATCAGAGTATGACCGCGCTCCAGGGGTTTTAACAGCTGATTTTTCACAAGTAGATAGCCAAGCCTTTCTTTTGAGGCATCTCTGGATGGATTCAAACTGCCAACCTGTCGGTTTAACAGCTAAGCGCATTAACCCTTTGCACCACCCAGGGACTAGTTGTTGTTGTTAAGTGCCGTCAAGTCGTTTCCGACTCATAGCGACCCCATGCACAGGAGAACGAAACACTGCCCGATCCCGTGCCAGCCCCACAATCCCCGCTATACTTGAGCCCATCATCGCAGCCACCGTGACAATCCATCTCGTTGAAGGCCTCCCCCTCTTTCGTCGACCCTCCAACCTACCAAGCATGACATCCTTCTCCAGGGAATGGTCCCTTCTTACAACATGACCAAAATAGGTGAGATGAAGTCTGGCCATTCTTGCTTCAAGGAGCATTCTGGCTGCACTTCCTCCAGGACAGATCTGTTAGTTCCTTTAGCAGTCCATGGGACTTTCAGCAGTCTTCGCCAGCACCACAACTCAAAAGCATCAACTCTTCTTCGGTCTTCCTTATTCATTGTCCAGCTCTCACATGCATACGAGGCGACTGGAAATATCATGGCTTGTGTCAGGCGCACCTTAGTCCTCAAGGAGATAACCTTGCTCCTCAGCACTTGAAACAGTTCCTTCGCAGTTGACTTTCCCAATACTACACGTTGTCTAATGTCCTGACTGCTCCTTCCGTTGGCATCGATTGTAGAACCAAGCAACGTGAATTCTTTGACAACCTCAATCTTCTCTCCATTTACTGTGATGCTGCTCATTGGTCCAGTTGTGAGGATTTTTGTTTTCTTTATATTGAGATGTAATCCATACTGCAGACTGTATTCTTCAACCTTCATCAGTAGGTGCCTTAAGTCATCCCCACTTTCAGCAAGCAAAGTTGTATCGTCTGCATATCTCAGGTTGTTAATGATTCTTCCTCCAATCCTGATACCACGTTTTTCTTCATATAGTCCAGCTTCTCAGATTAGTTGCTCAGCATATAGATTGAATAAGTGTGGAGAAAGGATACAACCCTGACGCACTCCCTTCTTGATTTTAAACCATGTAGCGTCCCCTTGTTCTGTTTGAAAGACAGCCTCCTGGTCAAGGTACAGATTCCTCATGAGTACAATCAAGTGCTCGGGAATTCCCATTCTTCTCAATGTTATCCATAATTTGTCATGATCCACACAACCAAATGCCTTTGCATAGTCAATAAAACACAAGTAAACATCTTTCTGGTATTCTTTGCCTTGAGCCAAGATCCATCTGACAACAGCTATGATATCCCTTGTTCCACGTCCTCTTCTGAATCCGGCTTGAACCTCTGGAAGTTCTCTGTCAATATACTGCTGCAAACATTTCTGAATTATCTTCAGTAAGATCTTACTTGCGTGCGATATTAATGATATTGTTCTATAATTTCCACATTCTTTGGGATCACCTTTCTTTGGACTAGAGTATACAACAAAAGAACCACTGCCATCCAGTCAATTCTGACTCACAGCAACCTTTTAGGACAGAGTACAACAGGTTTTCAAGGCTGTAAATCTTCACAGAAGCAGACTGCTACCTCTTTCTCCCACAGAGTGGCTGGTAGGTTCAAACTTAACCACTAAACCACTGCACCACCAGAACTCCCAGAGTAGAGCAAGGAAGTGATACAATTAGTGATCGAGCTTGCATTCCAAACTAAAACAAGCGCCCATCAGCAGGGGTCTCCTCGTCCAGCGCCAAGAAGAATGAAGGACACCAATGATGCATGGAAACAATTAGTCCAATGGACTAGGTGGACCATGTAAACTTTGGCCTACATGACCATGAGACCTGAAGAACTAGACGTTACTCGGCTACCACTGTCAGCCACTGGGAAAGGGATCAGTGCAGGAGATGCTGGACAGTGTGGGAGAAAAATGTGGAACAAAACTCAAAATAAGAAAAACTTAAAAGAAAAAAACAGGCTAACTTGTCTGACAGAGCCTGACGAAACCCCCAAGACTGGCCCTGAGTCACCCTTCAGGCCTGGAATTGAACTCACCTCTGTGGCTTCTAGCCAAACAATATACTGGCACACAGGGTGAATATATACACCAGGTGGGCACAATCCTCAGAAGGATCAATCATGGGAGAACAGGAGGGCGGTATTTGCACAGGGAGACAGCGAGGGGCCAGTAATGCATAGGAAAGAAGGACACAGGGAAGAGGTAACTACAGGGAGGAAATGGGAAGAAAGATAATACATTGTGGGTACTGCAGCAAATGTCATAAAACAAAATGTGTATGAACTGCTGTATGAAAACGAATTTGCCCTGTAAACTTTCACCTAAATCACAATAAAAATTTTAAAAAGAAGAAATAAATAAATAAAACAGCACCCCCTCGAGGCCACTCCTCGGCCTGCCCCACGTGACAGCACCAATAAATAAAACAGCACCCCCTCGAAGCCACTCCTCAGCTAGCCCCACGTGACAGCACCGTCACGGACAGCACCCCTTCGAGGCCACTCCTCGGCCTGCCCCACGTGACAGCACCATCATGAACATTCTTACCACCTTTGGCCTACATGACCATGAGACCTGGTTGAAAGCAAGGCTGAGACCAGGGGAGGGGCTGCAGCTGGCTCCCCAGCGTAGCTTCAGCTTTGTCAATAAAGGAGTAGATCTTCCCTGCCTTACTTACAGATGGCAAACCAGGTCCATGGAGGTAGAGGTGTTCTTAAAGGCATCTCAGCCCAGCTTCAGCAGAAAATCTCTGCCACTAACTTCACCCTCACCTCCCAGCCTCAGGCCCGAACCATTAAGAATGACAACGAGAACACTTCCAGCAATAGTCCTAACTATGAATCCATCTGTTTCCAGTGCGATGAGGCTTCCCAACCAATGGGGAAAGCATACAAGTGCTTTAGGGTCCCCTGTCGGACTGAGCTTCCGGGAATGGCAGTAAACGCCAGCCCTGCCCATGTGCCCAGTGCACCCATCCCCCTCAATGACAATAAATACAGAATCTGAGCCCTGAGGACACAGGGGAGAGGACACTGGGGATCATCCAGTCCACTCTCCCCCCCTCACCCTAGACCAGCAGTCAGCACACTTTGCCTGTAAAGAGACAAAGAGTAAATATTTTTGACCCTTTGACTTGTACAGCCTCTGCCTGGACTACTTAAGTCTGCTGCTATAGCGTGAAAGCAGTCAGGGTCATGATAGTACGTGAGGGAACGAGTGTGTTTACAAAACAGGCAGCAGGCTGGGCCCACCAGTCAGCCCGGCTTGCTTGCTGGCTTGCTGACCCTGTCCTGGCCTGTCCTCTGTACCTTCTCAGAACACGGCACTTTCTGACACAAGTCTCAGGAGTTTACTGCCTCCCAAAGGAAGCCATTTATCTTTACAAAAACTCCAGTGGCAACTGCTACTCATGTGGCCTGTGACCTTGGAAAACTTCAAAAGTTGTTTTCAGTAAACATTCAGTGCAATTCTTCACAGACATCAGGGCTAGAAAACCAATGTGGCCCAGTCCCCTGTGCCACGACAGCCCCGGTGGGGTCCGCGTGACATAGTCACCAGCCTGAAGCAATTGTTTCAAGGAAACAGCAGGCTTCCTGGGGTCAAGTGTGCTCTCTCTATATTTATCTTTTGTTTTTGTTCTTTAATGATCTTGATAATTTTAATGGGAATGATTGTTTCTAGTTATAATGAAAAGTTCATGGCGCAGGGAGAACT